CATTGCCACCATGCTGTACACTGGATCCCTGAACTGGTTCTCTCAGAACTAAAAGCTGTGCCCTTTGGCCAACATCTCTTCAAGTCCCTTCTGCCCTGGCCTGGGGCAAACCCTGCTCTATCTGGAGTGAGAACTCTGTGTGTGCCACACCCCTTGCTGGCTCTCTCACACTGTCATTGAACCCTTGTAAGAACCCAGTGAAGGGATGTTGTCATGCCATTTCCATTTTATAGACAAGGAAACTGAGATACACAAATATTTCATCACCTACCCCAATCCTCAAGGCAGGAGAGGCTGAGCTGGGACGTGAAAATGTGCAGGAGACCAAACCTTGGTTCACTTGACTCAATGCTCATGTGCATTACTGCCCTGGGATTCCCAAATCATTGGAGGACTGTGACTGCCTTGTTACAATAATAACCCAGTTAATTGCATACTATTAGGCTTGGTATGTTTGCAACCCGGCAGCAATCTACAGCACAAAGGAGTACTGACTTGTTTAGGTAGGACAGAGCCGCTTTGTGTTTGAGAGAAATGAAAAACTATTCCATGAGAATTTGAGGAGAAGTAAGAGGATGCTTATTTTATGTTTCTTAGTGACACATTGAGCTGTGATCCCCAGATTATTTTTAGGTGACTGAGCGCCTAGAAGGTGTAATTTTTAAATAAAGGTTCATATATGATTAATGCTGAATCAGATACCCATTGTATGTTAGATTTAATAGAAGCACAGGGAGCAGGTTCCCATATTTAAGAAAATATTGCAGAAAGAAAGCTTAATGATAATTATTTATTAAACTAATTCTTCCCTATATCTTAGGAGAGGCCACCATCGCTCCATTCTGCAAGTGAGAAAATATACTTAGGCAGCTATTTCCCTAATCACTCAACTTGGCTGTAGCTTTTTACATGCCAGTTCTTTCTACATCTCTCTGAGAGTGGCTCATTTAGATACTTTGTGTACTTGACAGATCACAAGATGGCTCTAAACCTGGGTCTGTTAAGTTACTGACAAAATGCTGGCTCTGACAGAATGCTGGGTCAGGAGCATTCTACTTGTGTGGGTGGGCGACCTCACTGGCAGTGTCTTTGCTGTGTACTTTGTGAGAGAGCCAGTGTCTCTGGCTGACCACCCCATGTTCACTAAGACTGGGGAGAGGAAGAGGGAGAGGGGGAGGGAAGGAGGAGAGAGAGAAGACAGATAAAAGTGGCAGCTATTGAAAATGGTAGAACCTGGTGGGCTGGGGAAATAACTTAGTGTGGTAAATCACGTGCTTAACAGTTGTGAGATCCTGGGTTCAATCCCGAGCATCACAAAAAAGAAAAAGAGGAGGAGGAGGAAGAAGAGGAGGAGGAGAAAGAACAGGAAGAGAAAGGCTGAGTACCACAGCATGCACCTGTACTCCCAGCTACTCAGGAAGTTAAGGTTGAGACAGGAGGATCACTTGAGCCCAGGAGTTTGAAGCCAGCCTGGGAAACACAGTGAGACCTGGGGGGGGGGGGGGGCGGTGTCAGGGTTGTCATTGTAAATTAAAGAATGCAATGAATATATAAGTGTGTTTTACTTTGGGTACTGTAGAATTTTTTTAATCAACAAATTTTTATTACCTGTTACTACAAAAGACTTCATCAAGAGGGGAGATAGTTGGGTGATCTTTGAGTAAACACTTCTTAAGTAATGGGCTTTGCCACCAGATACGGGGTGGGGTCAAGCTTATCAACACCATTGCTCTGTATCCAACTGGTACACACTAAAGAGGATAAGGAAATATGTGTTCTTAAAGCATTTCCCCAGGAAATGTTCATTTTTATGACATCCTAAGTAAGCAATTATATATTCTACGTGACCTAAAACACAGGTATTTGTTACTGTACATTTCAAAGCTGGAAGGATATTATCTTAAGAGGTGACCTTTGGAGGGGAAAATGACATTTTTTTTAACTGTTTGGCTCAAAAGTGGATATTGCCCAAGGTAATTTAGTACTAAAAACACATGTTTTAAAACAAACTTTTGGATTTCAAAGCCCATGGGAACTTTACCATCAGGAACAATGCATAGTCCACTTCCTCTCTAACTAAATGTCTGAGGTCAGAGTTATGGGCTCTGTCTCCAAACCTTTGACCAGTCTTAGCCATGGCTGGGAGGGAAGGTGGGGTCTCAGCTCTGGGGCCTGAAGGCGCTAAGTCTCCTGCAGCAGCTGCTGGGGGGTGATCCTGAGGCCTAAGAGGGTATGGGTGGTAAATGTGGGCCAGGAAGAAAATGCTCTCTTGGACCAAACCTGGAGGCCTAAACGGTGTGTGTCCTAGACAACTCCCACAGGTGTTGAGGGGGGCCTGCCTTGCAAGTGGGTGCCCAGTGCAGAACCCCATGGGCCTAGTGGTGAACACAAGCCAAGACCAGATTCAGAAGGAGGTGCAAGAAATGGCCAACCCCGAAAGGCCCACAGAGCTGAGGCAGTGGTCCATGGTCAACAAGGCAGGGCCCATGAGTGGCACCCTTGGGAAATGGGGGACCCTCTTGTGGCCATGTTCACCTTGCCCTCATCCATCACCTTCACCAGAAAAGAACTTCTGGAGCTGCCGTTCATCACGGGAGCTGGACCAGAGGCACAGGGATTCCCAGAGACTTCAGATAACCATCAAGGACCCAGTAAAGGTCCAGCTCCTGGCAAAGTTCACTTTCAGCCATATTTATTTGGTTGAAAGTAGCAGTCAAGAGGCTGCCTGGGAGGCTCCGTGATGAGCAGAGGGGAGCCGATCTAGCTCAGTGGCCCTCTCCAGGGAGGGTTCTGTGTATTTGGTCTTCCTGACATTGGTTTTACAATCACAAGTTCATCTTCCCACATTGCCACCTTTCTGGTCATTTCCAATAAGTTTGGTTTGTTTGTTTGTTCTGTGACAAATTCAGGCTGGCCTTGAACCCGCTATGTAATGTAGCCCAGGCTGGCCTGTAGTGAGCCTCCTGCTTCATCCTCCCAATTGCTGGGATCACAGGTGTGCCCTACATCCGGCTTTAATCCTTCCTCCAATTCTTCCATTTGCCACTTGTACACTTTTACTTCCTCTGCAACCATGACCACCCTGTCATCTATAGCCAACAGTAGCTGCTCTCTCTCATGTTGCTCATATTCTTCCTGATTCAGTGCTCAGGCAGAGCCATGTTCTGCTGGTAGAATTCCACTTTCAGAATCTCCACCTTCTGTGCAGGGTTCTTGACTCTTCTTCCAGCCCAGTGTTGGCAGGCCGCAGTGAGCTGTGGTCATTTTTCAATTTCTTTATTTGATCTTCCAGTCCATTTAGTGGACACGGAGGCTCTGAGTTTAAGTTGTGAAAGTTCTAGCTCCTCTTTAACTAAAGACATTGCAGTTTATGTCCCAAAGACATCTATCATTTCCTTAATTTGATTTTCCATCTCACTCTGGCCACCTTCCACTTCTCCATTTGCTAATTCATCTGACCCATTTCCTCCTTTATTTTGACCCTCAGATTCAGACCTATACTCTCACCGGTTCACCTGTGAAGTGCAATTAATTCAAGCACTAATATCATGTTCGTAAGAGCTACTTCTGAATCTGAGACTTCTTGAAGAATTTGATCTGCTGCTAAGCTCTGTCATGTGACTTCTTCCAGTCTTCAATTTTCTGTTGCAACTGCTTCTTCTTAAGCCTAGCATTTTCTCCTCCGCCGCCTCCTCCTCCTCCGCCTCCTCCTCTTCTTTTTTTTTTCCCCTCAGTACTGGGAATGGAACTCAGGACCTTGTGCTTGCCAGATGTGGCACCACTGAGCTAAATCTCTGGCCCCAGCATTTTCTTCTTGAACCTGGCAGCACTCAGACTTCACCTTCTCTTCACTAAGCTTTATCAAGGGCAGTCCTGCAGCATTCATTGAAATAATATCCTTTAATTTTTCTATAGATTTTTTTTTGAGACAGGGTCTCTCTATGTAGCCCAGACTGGCCTCAAATCTGCAGTGATCCTACTGCCTAAGCCTCCTGAGTGCTAGGATTATACCCACCATGCCCAGATCCTGTAGATTTCTTGTTTTCCAATACCAAATTGTGATTTTTGACATTCTGTTCTCTGTCAGATCCTAACATAACACAAAAACTTTTAGCTATGTCACCCAGAATTTCATTAGTTTCTTCAAGTATCTTGATTTCTTCAAGTATCATATTTCATTGCTTTATTACAGAGAATATATGGTTTCTTGGTCTCTTCAACATGCTTTTTTGACTCCTTGATCTTTGGTTCATAATTTAACAATTTCATGATGTTCTTCACCTTTTCAGAAAGTTGCTGTTCAGTGACTTGATACAATCTATCCTTTACAGCAAGAACAGTTCTCAAGAAAGCAAGAAGCACAGGCATCCATGGGAGTCTGTAAAAATCAGCCCCAGGCTACACATCATCAGGCTATGTAGCAACCAGCTCTAGGAGCTTGGCTATGAGGCCATGTAGAGGACTGACAGGGGTCCTCTATAGCAGCTCCAGGTCCCTGGCAGTGACAGCAGGCACAGTGGCACACAGAGTCCATTGTATAAGGCAGCTTTGCCTTGACTATACTTCCACTCAGGACAGTACAGGATGCCCAGATCTCTGCCAGTTCCTTCTGCAGAGGAATCATGGGGGAGGGCTCTGGACACCGAAATGAACTTTACCTTGCTGGCCATTGGTGCTTTCTGCTCTTCCCTTGGAGTAACGCAAATCAACCTATAGAATTTTTTAATGATGGGATTGGCACCATTTTATTTGTGGTTATTTTTTTGAAACTTTCAAATACAATATTTAAGGGATAAGTGAAAGTGAAGCCCATGTGTAATCTGGTCTCCAGCCTAGAGCTTTGCAAACCCTTTTGACAGCCTTATAAGCGGAGAGCTTTCTCCCACCTTTCCCAAGCTCCACCCTCAGTTTGGAAGAGAGCAGCTTTGTTTCTGTTTGGCCAGCGAAGGCCTGAATTCTGGAACTAACCTCCTTTTTCTTTTTCTTCCTCCGGCACACAGCATGGCACAGAGTGGGCCTCTCCCCCATGTCGTGTATGCTCCTGCACTCATGGGGAAGTAAGATGCACCTCTCAGCCATGCCCACCACTGTCATGTGGACAGCAGGAGCTGGAATTCACCCCTGAAGGAAGCTGCTGCCCAGTCTGTGTGGGCCCTGGAAGTGAGTATAAGCTTGCAGAAAGGACCCTCTTTGCCTTTGCAGTGACAGAGTATTTCAACACCTACCTTTCCTGTTCAGTGTGGCACGAAGATCTCTTCCCCATTCCTTACTGGAAACAAGAGGTAGCCTTGCACTCGGCAGGAGCAAAGTTTCGGGGAGAGAGATGGGAGCAAATCTTTAAATTTCATTCCAAACTTAGGATTCCATGAGGTTCTCATTTATTTATTTTACCTTGGCCAGATGCAGCCTTCTGGATTTACAGCTCCTGAGAGGGATAAGGAAAAGAAGGTTCCATAAGGCAAAGATGGTTCATCCTGCCCCCTTGGTGGGCAGAGGGATGATGAAGTCTGTTCTCAAGATAGCATTGGCCAAGCTAGTTCTGCTGGCTGGTCTTGGGGATAAAGCAGTGTCTTCCTCTGAGACAAACACAGCAAGGAGGTCTTTCATTTGTCCTTTTTGCATCCTCACTGAAGAGGTTTTTGCTACCAACTGAGTCACCAGCAAGCCAGGGGCTGGGCTGGCTTCCAGGCTCCTCCTTGGAATCCATGGTTGGTCCATGTGCCTTTTTAATCCCATTTTAGAGATCTATGTCCCCTTCCATTTTTGTACTAAATAGCATGGCTTTAATGATAAAGAGGAATCATTGTCCTTGCTGCATTCTGCTCTCTCCTAACATGATATCTAGAATACTTCTTTTATTCAGTTGCACCTGGAACCTATACTTTCTTCTTGCTTTTTCCCTTTTAAAAATATCCCTGTTTTCTTTCCAATCCCATTATCCCATTCCTAGCAATCCTTTGCTCTGGAGAATTGTTCCAGGGATTTGAATGTACGCTCAGGAAATTATAAAGTAGAACTTTTGCTTTCTGCATTTCAGATATCACCCACCAGAAAAAGGCTGTTGGCTGCTTTAGGCCAAATAACCCTGCAAGTGAAAATATAGGAGTAGCACACTGGGAGGTGGTTAGGGGGTGCGACCCAGTTTGTGGGATTCTTTCTTTGTTCCTAAGAGGCTTTCTTACTGACCCTCCATGAGAAAGATACAAGAGAAGCATTCTGCCTTGAGAGACTGGAGGGTTACCTGGGCCAACTGCATAATTTGTGAAAAGGCAGGGTTCCTTGTTCAAAAGTCATTGCTTTGTTTCTATTGTCTCTCTTAGCCTGTCATGTTCTCTGCTTGGTATTCAGTTGTGCCCCTTCAGGCCTAAGGATACTGCAGAAAGAGTGGAGACCCCCAGGCACTCCAAGGCTTACCCTGTGACTTGGGGCGGGGGCACAGGCACCCTCCTGGTATCCTCCAGACACCAAGGTCCTGATATAGGTGGAAGGTGACAGCGTTCACTAGGCAGAGGTTAGGGACAGGCCACTGTCAGCCTATCCTGGGAAATCTGTGGGAGATGGTGCCATGCATGAGCTGAGGCTCCAAGCTCTACTAGACTCCACTTAGAAAGCATGGATTTGGAGATGTCTGCACAGCCACTGCAGGGCATTAAACCCCAGAAGGAGCTCTTTCTGTGCTCTGTGGCCCTGGCCCGGGCACACTCCACAGCAGGAACTGAGATCTGCACTTGCAGCCCTCCTGCTAATCCTCATTCCTTCTGCCTTCCAGAGCCCTGTTCCCACGAAGGCCATGTGTATCAGGACGGGGAGGACTGGCAGCTGAGTTGCTGTGCCAAGTGCATGTGCCAAGATGGGGTCACCCAGTGCTTCACAGTACAGTGTCAGCCATTGTTTTGTAACCAGGTATGGGCAATACCCCCAGAGTACAGCTTTCATAGGCTAACTCAAAAACTTCAAGTGTGCTGAGATTTTGTCAGGTGGCCTTGGAAGCCCTAGAAATGAGAGTCAAGGGCTGTTTTGTTTTTCTTATACAGTTCTTTTAGAGACCAGCTCTGAGATGTTTTTTTCCCTGTAGGAGAAACAGATAGGTCTAATTACCACCCATTTAGGCTAATTGTTACATAATGAAATTGAGCCTTGTGGGTACACACAAGGAAGCCTCCAGCTTGAATTACAGATGTTCCAAAAATGTAAAGCTAAACATCTGGAAATTTTGGTAATATGATCAGGTTTGCTGTTGTTTTTCAGTGCATCGGTACAGTCTGATTGTTTAGACATATACACATCTTTGAACATGATTATCCAGATGTACACAATTTAATTATTATAGGATAATGATTTAAATTATCAAAGGGTTTTCTCTGGGGATGTTATTGGATCTTGTTCTTCATATAAAGCTGATCTGATTTTCAAAATGTTAGGCTCTTCACACAAATTCAGAAGAGAAAATCAATTGCAAATAAATGTAGTATACATGGTACTTTATAGTTTTTTGCTCTTCCAGAGGCTCCTGTGGATGTTCCATGGCAGTTGACAGATAACTGTGAAAGGAGTTTTGCCTCCAGTTGAAAAATAGCTCATTTTGATCTAAGAAAAAGCTGGAAGCCAACATTTAGTTGATACAAAGCAGTACTTTATGTCAAATAAAACAAAATCAATAACATAGCATATTGTGACAATTGGGCAATATTTTTAAATGCATTCAAAAGGCAATTAGACAAGAAATGCTAAATGCCAGATAAAGGGGAAATGTATCTAATTGAAAGACTCAATTGTATTACCCATACCACACCAACTACTGTGCGGATGTCTCACCTCCCAATTCATCACCAGGCTTTGCCCTTGCTTGGAGATTACAGATGAGCTTCTTGATGGCCTTGCACTCTGGTCCACTCTTCCTGGGGCTTAGTCCTCTTGTATGGGAAAGGTAATTAAAAGAACAAGACAATAAGGGAAATGGGGAGGAGAAATAGAGGGAACACCTCACTGAAGATGTTCTGCTTTAAATCTTCAAAAACTCAACCACACATTATATATTAGGGGACCAGCTATTAAAATAATTGAAAGCACTGTTTCTTATTTGCAAAAAGCACCAAGCATGAACTCTTGCTTCATGTACAGTATTGACTTATAGTTTGCATCAATGTACATAATTAATGTAAAAAGATGAAAGTTGGTACCATACTTTAAAGCTAATTGAGATGCAAGCACTCTCAAGACTTGGAAAAAGATTGATCTCAACCACTCTTGTATTATTAAACCTATTTTTGCCTTGACATATTTTTTAAAAACCCGACTGTCAGATCATTTAGAACATTTTCCTTGATTTAATATCACTATTAAATGTTGAGTGTTCCAAAGATATAAAGGGGTGCTGTGTAGAATTAGTGTTATATTGATGTAACACGTCACCCCATCACTATCATCACAGCCCTCGTTACCAGCAACACTGAATTTGGGGTGATTAATATGTGCCAGTCATTAGTTTTAAGAGCTTTGTAATTCTCATTACAGCCTTTTGAAGCAGAAACTGTTATTATCGTCCACATTTTATGCGATGAACTGAAGTATGGAGAGTGTAGCTTGCTCAAGGTGACGCAGTTAGGGAGGGTCAGCCCTGTAACCAACGTGCAGTTCTACATCACAGCCTCCAAAGACCATGCTGACTCACACTTCCAACCATTACACTATCTTGCCTCCCCAAATGAGGAGTTACACAGTATTAATGTATAATAAGCTAACATCATTGAGCATGATTGGTCATATTTTATATGCATTAGTTCATTAAATGTAAGAAAAACACAAGTTCATCAGTTGAATTGTATCTTCCAGGGCTGAGCTCTAAAAAAATTGGTGACCCATCTTCAAGGTTTCATGACTTGTAGTGTAAGAGTTTTAAAAAAAATTATAAAAGGAATGTGTTCATTAAGGAAAGTTTGGAAAGTGGAAAGAAAATGATTGCTCATTTCCACTGTTCAAAAAGACCATGGAAAAATTCCTTTTATTTGGTAATTTATTTCAGTCTCTTGATAGGCAAATGTGCTTGCATAGCTATAATCATATTCTAAAGCTTGGTGATAATCCCTAACAAAGGAGAAATTCCTTATGTTCAAATTGCCTTAAGAAGAGCTTAAATTCTTACTGATATTGCCTGCTTCCAACTTTTGTTTGGATGACCTGTACTTTTTTGTAGCTTCCCTTAAATGCTGTGTTCAGTCTGAAAAGAGTAGTTCTTGATATTGCCACAGATTTTTTAATATCACAGTTTTCCCATTCCAATATTGATTAATCCGAGTAGTTTCAACTTCACCTTTGGATTTTTTTTAAAGAAAGAAATTATTGGTAGGTTCTCTGAGCCTCTGAGAGTTTGAGAATTATTTTTGTATTGCCTATATGCGTGAAAGATAATTTAGAGGGGCCTAACATTTGGGGGAACTATAATACTTTCTCATCCCAAATGTATGGATTCATTTCCATAAAATTTTGTAATTTAATGTGAGAGAGCACCAATCTGAAGTCTGCTGCCTTTGCGTTCTATTATATGCAGCTAATTTGACCCTGTTGTCTTTTCATAGAATTTAAACAAATCTTTACACTTCAAACATCTTTCAGGTGAAGTATTAATTTGGAAAAACTCAGTCACCTATGAGAACTGGCTGCCAAAGGTGGAAGATGCTATGAGACTGGAGGAAGAGGCAGGTAGATCCAGGATCACACAAAGTACAGTTTACTGGGGACTCACAAACAACAGCTGTCCTTGGGCAGCAGAAAGACAGGTGGCACCTTCAGGCAGGAGGAAGGTGTTTATATGCTAAGCCAGACAAATGTGCCTGGCCTTTCTTAAACCCATTAACATGTCTAGTGTCAGTTAAGAAACAGCCCAGTTATCAGTGGCTGGCGCACCAGCTATCTTAATGACCCTGTCCTGTGGGGCTTGGGATATGTGCCAGAGAGGACAGTTAATGGCCAACGTGACTGCAGTCCTGCATGTATCTTTTCACATATTTTCCCTGAAATATTATAGTGCCCTTTCAGACTATATTCTAGTTTTTAAATTTTTTTTCAGTTTGGTTTTCATTAATGACATTAGATCCATTAGATCACACTCTTTTCTCTGTTACATTTCCCCAGGGTGGTACATGGACACCCTTAATCCTAGCATTGCATCATCAATCAATCCCAGCATCACATCCTTACTCCTACCATCACACACTCTAGATACAGCCACCTCTGAAAAGCCCCACCTATGACTGCATGAGATTTTGGGAGGACAACTAGGCACAAGCCATAACGCACCCCATTTTATCCCAAGTACATTGGCCTTCTTGATTTTGCAAAATAAGTACCTGAGTGATTATGATAATAAATGTCAGTTTCAGCTTCTCATAAGAGAAAGTGAAGATGCCATTTTGGAATTATCTTCTATATAAGATCTACCAGTTCTTAATCATTGAAACTTGGTGTATTTTCTCCCTCCTTCCTCTACTTTTAATTCGTCTACCTTCCTGCTACTGAAGAAAGCTCTAATAAGTCAGAGTGAGCAGCTCAGGTCTTAATAAGGAGCCTGCTGTGTGAAAACTTGCAGAGTGGAAGAGACAAGTGGTCTGATACTCTGGTGGGGCTTAGGAGGTGGCACAACTGAGAATTTGGGGATAGGGGAGGTAGAGGAGGTTCCCTGGGCCTTTAATCTCTCTCACCCTCATTTCTCTGCACTGGTTTATTTTCAGATTTCTGGAGGTGTGACTGAATCTTTCCATGTGAAGCACCCCCATGCACATATATAAATATGTGGGTTTATATAAAGATGCAAAAGAATCATGAAGTAGCTGATTAAGGAAGCGATACCTTCACTGTCATGTTTAGAGGTGTCCCAAGTAAAGTCTGGGTGTCCTTAAGTGTTGGTTTGGTTGGTGCTCTGAAATTCTTGACCTACCATTTGCCATTACCAGGTCAGCTATATAACCCTGGGCTAGTTGCACAACCTCTCTGGTCTTTACTGTTCTCATTTGTAAAGCAGGAGTAAAAGCATCTACTTCACAGGGTCACGTAAAGCACTAAGAATAGTTCCTGGCAAATACCAAGTGCTTCTATTATTTTTATTGCTTGTGCTTTTATCTGTTCTTAGAAGAGGAGAAGACTTAAGACATAGGCCAAACTTCTGAAAGGTCACACCAACCTTGGCATTGTTAATGTTTTATCAGCGCCCCAGGTGATTAATAAAGGCCATGTGAGAGGATATTGCTGGTTTGGATATGAGTTGGCTGTGAATGAAGTTTCCTACAGTGTGGAGTTTATGAATGTCTCCTTTGGTTGTTCTTTCGTTAGGATGAAGCCATCATCCGAGTCCCTGGAAAGTGTTGCCCACAGTGCTCTCCACCATCCTGCTCTGCGGCTGGCCATGTACACCAGGTAGCTTCAATACACCCTTGAGGTGCCCCATGTGGGTGTGCAGCATAGCTTCTCACCCATCTTTCCTCCACCTTCCAGCTGCCACCCGTCCTCACCCTCATGACTTGCTCTTTGCCAGAATTAGTGACTCAGTACTTAAACAGCCCCCTTCTCTTCACAGAAAGCTTTATGAAAATTAAGTTGAAGGGGATTAGAAATGTAAAGGAATGTGCTGGCAAGCACTGCCTGGCTCATGAACCTTGGTGAACGTACTGTTCACATATCTTGGAGGGAGAAAGGGGCTATCACTGGTCACTATCAGTTTACACTGAACTTTGAGGCTTTGAGAATGTTTGTCTGCTTTGGTTGGAATTTATGCACTGATATCCAGAGACAGCAAGGGGGTGTGAGAGGGAGGTGAGAGCCTGGTGGTGGTGGATAAAGTGAACTTGAAAGTACTATTGGAGCAGTCGAGACATCCATGCCAGACCCATAGAGGACACCAAGATGAGTTCAACAAATGAGGTGAATGAATGAATAAATGAATGAATGTTCTGTCTTAGGAGTTTCTAGCTGCACCAAAAGAAGCTCACATTATTCTAAAGAGCATGAAGAGTAAACCCAGCATCCTCCCTTGTTTGTCAACACTCTCAGGAAGACTAAGTAGAAATCAGGATTATGTCTCTCAATAGAGAATCTGTACCTAAGTATTAGGGATGGAAGTATAACAAATTCCAGCTAGGTCCCTTGAAAACTGAATGTAAAATAACTCGTTGGAGAAGATGTTTTTATTGCTGAATGTGCATTGTCTGACACAATAGCCACATATGCAGCTTGCATGGTGTTTTTATCGGACAGGATGTGCTAGACTGATTTCTCCTGGAAAAGACAGAACTTGTATCCCTTATGATGTTTTCAGCTGCAGGTAACAGAAATGCTCCTCTAAAAATGGCTACAATGATAATATTTATTGTCTTATGTAACAAGAATTACAGAGAAAAGGCAGCTCCAGGGTGGATCAATTTGGTTCTCAATAATCTCCCAAGTCCTCTAGATGCCTTCCTTAGCCCAGACAACTCATCCTCACATAGTCATTGCTACAGGCTGGTGGAAGAAACGGGTGGGAGGAAAGTCTTTTCTTTGACTTCCACCGCTTCAGCAAACTTCCCTTGAGATAGTATCAGGTGGCTTTGAAATCATGCACAGCTCTAGCTCCAAGGGAAGCAAGAGAAAATGCAGATGTGGCTGTGGGTGCTGAGTCACCTGGCAAAAAAGATGACCTAAAGAGCATCCAGAGAGGAGCCAGCCATCAGGGCCTTCCTGTTCACTCCAGGGTTCTTAAGGCCTCTGTGTGCTTGACACAGGAGGACATGAATATAGTTAAATAAAAATTCACTCAAAGTTCCTGTGGACATTTATTGGCATTTTTTCTTAGACTATTTCTGCCTAAATGGTACTATTTCTCAGGAGTACATTTAACGTGGCTCCATTAAAAAAATGTAATAAAAATTCATGTCCTATGTGTCTGGGTTTCTATTTGATATGCCTGACCTCTGATGTTCCACTTTTTTTTCTGCCTTTATTTCCTCAGCATGGTGAGCAGTGGAACCAAGACTCCTGTACCACGTGCATGTGTGACCGGGGCAAGATCAGATGTCATAAGCAAGACTGCCCTCCCCTGAGATGCCAGAAGGTACTGAGCATGTAGCTTGGTTTTCTAAGCTTGATTCTCGGGGCATTTAAGAAATGCAGTTCTTGGGCCGGGGATTTAGCTCAGTGGTTCTGCCCCATGCCTCACAAGCACAAGGTCCCAAGTTCGGTCCCCGGTGCCAAAAAAAAACCAAAAAACAAAAAACCAGTTCTTAATCCTGTGTGTCCGTGGAGGGAGACAAGCATTCTACAGTGTGCAGAGTGTTGGGAAGCTCTGCTTCCTGGACTGGAAGCTTGAGAGGAGGGAGGCTTGCTGCGCTCGGGTGAGGGACCTGGCAGTGGTGCACACATCTGTGTTTTATGTCAAGTGTTGTCACTGTCTCTTGTGAACTGTTCTCCCCACCACCCTCTACTCCCTACTCCTTAGGGTCAGAACAGGGTTCGGCGACCCACACAGTGCTGTGAGGAGTGTGTGTCCACTGCCGGAAGCTGTTCATCTAATGGGATCATGCAGTACCAGGAGGACATGTGGAAAGGCTCGCCTTGTGAGTTCTGCATGTGTCACCATGGCCAAGTGACCTGTCAGCCTACAGAGTGTGCCAAGGTGGAGTGTGCCCAGGTAAGAAGCAAAGGAGTTTCCATTCGGACTGTAGCAGCTTCTTCCAACAGCCTAGGGAGGCCTGTGCAGGTTCCTTACTTCTTGGCAGCAGAAGAGACAGCCATGTTGGTGGCTCACATTTCAAGCCTTTTAGCTCAGATTCTGCGATGCCAAGTGAATGTCACTGTTTGTTCAGATTAGCTCAGAACAGCTTCTTGTAGCTTTTAGCCCTCTGTGCATCTGGTCAGGTTGGAAGCCCTAAACCAGACACATGAAAGGGAAGGGAATGATATGGCACATTAGTCTATCAGTTGGTGCAGCTGGACTTCAGTGCTAGTGGCCTGCCCAGCTCACTCTGGCTGTGACACAGGGTCTACAGGTGTGCAGGGGCCTGGCTTCTGCTGCAGACCCCACTGGCCACTGGAGCAGGAAGGGGATCCAGCACCTGGGCCTGCTTCCATGCATCAGGAAAGAACATAAACTGGTTTTTGGTTTTGTTTTCAAGAGAGAGCTAGGAGACCTCATAAACAATTAACTCTATTGACCTCTGTTGACTTCTGCTGTCTGCAGAATTTCTAGAAGCTTCCAACAAAGCAACCTCTGTTTGGGCTATAGATGTATATTTTAGGAAAACTGCTTTTTTTTTCCTGTGAACTCGATTTTGACCCTTAGCAAAACAAATTGCTTTTAAAGTTGTCTCTGTCTCCCTGACTGCTCCCATCTGCCCCTCCAATTTCCCTCAGGGCTGTAAACTTGGACAGACACGAAACTTGAAAGCTCTGAAGTGTGGGGTGTCGTGAAGGCGTTTTTCTTTCCAGTTCCTCTCCTCCACTCCTCTACAGCTCCTAGCACAAAGCCTGAGGAGGAATGGCCTTTCAAATGAGCGGGTTACTCCCTGGGCCATTTTTCACTGCTTCTCTGACATCTGGATCTTGGCAGAGCTGAAATATTTAGGTAAACAGGGTCTTGCTTTTTCACAAATTTAACTTCCCCACCTCAAGGCACCTCTTCATTCCTTTTTATTTTAGGGAAGTCAGAGTGGTTGGACAGGGGTGAGAAGCCTAGGGAGGCCCTCTGCTTCCTCTCTCAGGCTGAGGCCTGGCTCTCTGGGTGCTGGCTTATTTTCCAAGGTTTTCATTTGTCTACTATTGCCAGGGTTATGGAAAAGGAGAGAGGTGATCTGGCACAGTGGGTTCTTTAACCACCTACTTTCAGTCAGATCTGAACACAGTCTCATTCACAGACGATGATTTAATTCACTGTCCCCAATGTTAACTGCATGTCCAAGTGCCTGCCTGCTCCATTGGGACAACTGACAGTGGTGGCATCAGCCAGGTCCTCTTGTCTGTTTTGGAGAAGGGGAGCAACTGTGTAAGTGAAGAGTGCCTTAATGCCCCTCAGGTGATCTTATAACTAACACTGTTGCATCTCTGGCTGCCCCCCATCTTTTCTCTTTATGGACTGAGGAATTCTAACATCTTTAGCCTATTTCTCCAGATCTTTAATCAACTAAATTGCTTTCTTCCTGATTAACTCCATGTTTTCTAATTTTTTTTTAAGTTAGTAGGTTCTAAACTGGAAAAGCTAGCCAAGGTGAACTTTTAACCAAAATTGAATCTTAAGAAAAATACCCCTTAACCTTCTTGATGTATCACACTTGTGTAAATAGCTCTGGTGATTAACCTTATTAAAGCCCAGCTGTGATAAGAATGCTTGTCTATCGTATAAGAAATTGGGGGTTCAATCCCCAGTGTCTCCCTACCATCCCCTCCCTCAAGAAAAGCCTGGGTAGGGGACAGGGAGGGTAGCTCAGCGGCACACAGTGCCTGCCTGGCAAGCGCAAGGTCCTGAGTTCAATCCTGGTAGAGAGGAGGGGAGAGGGAGAGGGAGGAGGAGAGAAGAACAAAAAAGCAAAGCAAGGCCTGGGTGTTCTCACTTCTTGACTTCTAGTCAGCTTATATCGCTGGTGATAAAATGATGAATAAGACTCATTTTAACCTCAAGAATGCCCAGGCTTAGGGGGAAGCCAGATGTTTAAACAAATACACAGTGACAGCAAGGAAATCTGATTTAAATGATTAGGAGCTCCCCAGGGGAACAATGCTGGCCAAGGGGCAGTGAGAGTGCACTCCTGGTATTTTTAGTCAATTTCATTCAGCCTGTGCTCCTTTCTCAAAACATCAAGGTCATCTGACTTCCAACGTTGGCTACCAAGGGCAGATTGTTACTGTAGAACATCTGCAAAAAGATGCAGAGCAGTAAACTAGAGGAGGCAACTGGCGGTGTCACCATTGACTTCATTGTTACACTGGTTATCAACAGGGGTGTCCTGAATAGCACTGAAATCAGCACATGACTTTTCTTTGTTAACAAAGGAGAAAATGGCATGGTCCTTGTCTTTGATATATTCAATCAGATCCCTAGACAATGAAGTATAAATAAATCAATGGTAGGCTAGCACAATGGGATAGATTCTATTTTTCTGTATTTTAGAATGCCTTTGAACAAATTCAAATGAATTATCTTTTTTTTTAAGGACCTAGCATTCACAGCTGAAGCCTAATATGGTGGTGGGAATGAGACTTGTAGCAAAATGCATAGAAGAGAGTAGGCATGCAGAGATGTGAGAAGCCTTTCCCTTACCCAGTGGAGGAGAAAAGTTCCTTCAGAGCGTTTCCTTTTCCAATGGACAGGTCAAGTAGAACTTGTTACTGGGGAGTCTCCTTCTAAAAATGACTCGCCAAATAAACGTTACCGGGTTTTGGTTTGCTTGCCTCTCCTCCTGGAGTTGGATTCCAGGTTCTTCTCATCTCGAACAAAGAACTGAGTGAAATGAGCAAAAAACAGTGGCAAAGTTTATATGAAAAAGTAAAAGTGAAGAGTAAGGGAGAAACTGGCTCTGCAGAAAGAGCTGGGGCTGAGTAAAAGAGGAAAAAGGCAACATAAAAGTACAACATGGAGAGCACAAGGTAGACCGTCTTGAGGAAAGCCAGGATAGCAAGCTCTTCCTGGTGTCTGTGTCCCTTTATGTTGTTCAAATCTCGCGGAAACCCGTGAGAACTTTTTACATCGGGGTCCTGAGAGGCGGTGCTGGGATCCCCGGCCTCAGGCTGAAGTCAAGTCTAAGGTATCATGTTGAAAACTTGCTGAAGTTCTTGCCAGCAGTCCATGTGCAGAGCTTTGGGAACTGTTCTGCGCATGTGTTCACGTATCTTGTAATTAATAGGTCATGCCTAATTCCCTGACCAGCTTTGCCATGCCTTAATCTCCCGTCTCATTCTGATGGATCTAGATTCAGACTGAGATTGATTCAATGGAGGAGTAGCAGATTTGATCTGGCTTATAAAGGATAACTTCTTTAAGAGAATCAGTTTTGTTTCATTCTAATCAATTGAAAGCAAACGTCAAGTGCTACAGTTTGTAATAGCTAAAGCTTGGAAACAGCCCAAGTGCCCATTAACTGGAAACTGGATAAAGAAGATGTGGGTTTTTTGTGGTTTTTTAATAAAATGGAGTACTACTCAGCCATAAAGAACGAGAAACTAGAGTCATTTATAGCTAAATGGATGCATATTGAGGCCATACTCTTTAAATGAAATAAATAGGACACACATGTATAAATACCTAATAGTTTCTCTAGTGTGAGAAACTGAAGGTGTAAATAAGGGTTAAAATGATTAAAATGAATAATTGATAATTTGAAATAGGAAGAAAAGTCCAAAGGGGTAAGGGTGATGGGAGGGGAAGGGGAAAGGAAAGAAGGGAAAGGAAAAATTATGAGAAAAGAAAAAAATGGAAATGAAGTCTATGTAAATAGGGAAGGATGGAGGGCGCATAGGTAATGGGGAAAAAATAAGAACCAAGATACATCATGTACAGGTACGAGCACCCAATGATAAATCTAAAAGTATTGTTTGATTATTTTTTTTTTCTATTTTTTTTTTTTTTTTTTGGTACTGGGGATCGAACTCAGGTCGTTGCACTTGTGCAGCAGGCAGCAAAACCACTGAGCTAAATCACCAGTCCAATGTAAAAGTATTGTATACCTAAAATGTACCAATAAAAGAATTTAACAATAAAAAAAAAAGTTAAGTGCTAATTGGAGCAACTTCCCCATCTCATAGAAGTTTTGTGGTTTGGGGCCTAGGCTTCCTCTATAAATAGCAAATCTATTTAGAACTTCCTGCCTTACCAAAATGGAATCCTTATTCCTCAGGAACAGGGCTCTTTGGTATTTACAGTGGAGTTTGGTGGCTCGGAGCACCTCATGTCTGTGAGTATTGTAGCAGACACTCAAGAATCTTTCAAGCGTTTCGTTTTTAATAGAAGTACACATACTCCATCTTGTTCCAAATATTGTTTTAAACAACTTATATTACATGCATATAAACCCCTTCATATGCTTTGAAAGAAAATTTCAATCTGTTTCTGAGGGATGCCTTCACTACCAGCTGATTCTTCACATTTCTGCAAAACAATTTATATGTAAATATGTCTGATCCCTGTAGCACCCACTGCTCTCAGCCTGTGATTGGCATGAGATTTTGATAGACAGTAACTTGTACAACTCCTTTCTTTTTCAAGTAACTTTTTTAGGCACTGTAAAAAGTTATAATAATTCCTATATTGTTGTGTTTATTTTAGGAGTTTATATTTTCCTTCATTAAAATAAATATTTATTCATTTGAAAACTCGGGAAAAGTAGAATCCATCTCTAACACTATATCCAGAAGACAACCAATGGTTTTATATCATATTTGTCTTTAGTGCGGTATTTTAAAATACAGGATCCATTTTTCATTTAATATGGCTTCTGTACTTTTAAACACAACATGGACTACAAATCAACTATTAAATATTTAAAGAAACATGATTATTTAGAAAGTAGAAGTATCACTGGAAAGCAGCAAGTACTTTAAAGAATACTCTTTAGCCTATAAGTATTAGACATTAGTACATATATGTGAAAAATTGCAAACAGGATTTGTATTTTTAACAATGGATTCCCTAGAAGGTAAGACTGCAGTTGCATTACATTTTCTAAGCTATAGAATTCAGAATTACTTTAAAATGTTTAACAGCAAGCTTTTATTGTTTTGTAAAAAATAATTTGAAATAATTTAATTTAATAATTTATAATTTTATAATTTTATTAATTTAAGAAGACTTATAAGTCAAACATCTGTCCTCCAAGTGTGGCTTTCTTTTCTTGCAGTTTTTTTTCTAAATAGATGTGATTTGGCAAACAATAAGTGTTTCAGAATACTGAATAAAAAGTACCCTACTGCCTTTTAATTTCTGTCTACATCTGTGCATAAAGGGATGAACTTGATTTTTGTGTTCAAGGAAAAATGTTGGTTTGATTTGCACACTAATAATGAAACCAAAATCACAATGTCTAACCATGTATATTTAAGAGAGTGTGATTGTTTCCTGAAAGTTATCTTTCCAAGATGGTTGGCTGCCCTTCTTATTCATGTGACTCCTGGCCATGGGTGGGTAGATACGGGATGAGCAGAGCACACAGCTCATCTGAGCAGAAAAGAGAGACCACTTAGAAGGCTATGTAGAGTGACTGGACTTTCCATAGAGAAACAGCGTGGGAGATGAAGTAAGTAGAAGGCAAAGCAAAGAGTGTGCTAGGGTTTCTCACCCAGCCAGGAACCCAGCTCTTCATCAGCACTGGTACCTGGACATGTTAATTTGATGTCTGTACTGACTTTCTTTCTTTCTTTCTTTCTTTCTTTCTTTCTTTCTTTCTTTCTTTCTTTCTTCTTTCTTCTTTCTTTCTTTCTTTTTGCCACTCTTATTTCTACAGGGTGAAGAATTAATTCACTTAGATGGGAAATGTTGTCCTGAATGCATTCCAAGGAGCGGCTATTGTGTTTATGAGGGAAAGGCAGAATTTGTGAGTATTGGGCTAGTAACTAGAGACTATTAAACATTAACAATTCAAAATTAACTTAATGAGGGGACCTTATTACTTTCTAGTTTCTTTTGTCCATTCATTTGTTCAGCAAACATTAATGTGTGTGTGCCTGCTACTTACCAGGCACTAGGGTTACAGAAGTGAACTCAGAAGCTATCGTGAGAGAGTGACTTCTCTCGGGTGGAGCATACTTTTTAGCCGGGACACAGACATCATACACACATATCCCCACAGGTCCAGATGAGTACTGCCTAAAAGAGTAAAGCAGCTTAAATAATTGGTCTGGGATGGGGGACACATATAAGAGGAAGTCCTCTCAGGCAGAGAAATCTGAGCAAAACCTGATGGAAGGAAAGAAGTAGGCCATATGGATATCTGGGAAAGGGCTGGGGCATACCAGGAAGAGAGCTCAGCAAATGCAAAGGTACTGAGGCAGAAACATACTTGGCATGCTCAAGAAATAGCAAGAAAGGGACTATGGCTGGAGCAAAGTGAATGAGGAAGAAAAAGCACTTGGAGATGAGGGTTAATGAGTAGATTGGAAACTAGGGTATTTTACCCTGAGGCAGATGGCAGCTGCCAGCTGCCTTGGGGCTTGAGCTGAGAAGTGTGATGAACTTATTTAGAAATGATCTTTTGGCTATTGTGCAGGGCCAAGTTGGGAGGGAGAAGGTCCCATGAGAAGACTGCTGCCGTCTGGATAAAGGGTGACAGTGGCCTGGTGTAGGGTGGACATGAGGAAGGTGGTAAAAGGGATCAATCTCTGTTTTGCAGATATGTGTGACAGGATTTAGATGAGTTGTGTGTGAGGTGAAACTCTATTTGCTGAAGTTTTATTTCTCCCTGTGTCTTCTGTATTTGGTTATTGTATTACACCAAAGAAAACAAATTTTAACTTAATCTCTTCAAATTTTCCCTATTTTTGCAGAATGTAGTTTTCATGTGGGGTTTTAGAATGTTGATAGATTCATCATGTTCTCAAAAATGTGCCAGTTGATCATAAATACAACTGTTCCATTGACCAATGAAAATAGGATTATAGGAATTACGGTTAAGTGCTTCAGCTGGTGAATCCATTTGTGTAAATCACATCTGTCAACCTGCCAGTGTTTCTGCATGACCTGGGAGGTGGTACTATGTGAGGTTAGCAGCACAGACTCTAGGGTTGAATTCCAGCATTTGTATATCACTTGATCTTCAGTGTAAACTTGGGGTAACAATAGTACTTAACTCATGTAGCTATTGAAATACGTGTAGAGCACTTAAAATGATGACTGGCATGTTAAAAGAAAGCTAAAAACATTGGTATTATTATGTCATTGTTATTACTTGTTTCCTAGTGTATCTCTTAGTTTATTCATCCTCATTTTTCAAGAATTTAGGAGATTAAATGTTGTTTCTATACATGTTGAATTTGTATTTGTATTGTGATCAATTTTCCCACCCACTTTTGGAGCCACATTAAGCCCAGTGGAAAACCAAGTTCTTGTCAATAAGTACAAATCTCTGTAATACTTTGGTACCACACAAATCCAATAATTTGTTCTTGAAAACTTTGATTTCTTGACCGTGAAGTCCTTTATGTTAAGGAGAATTGAAGTGAAATGCTCAAGCACAAGATGAGAATTAAGAACTCAAAAATACTCCCTATGTTGTATTTGCCTCATATCAATGTGCTTTTCTTGTTTTTGATACAGAAATATTTTATGTCTATTCGTAACAAGTGAGTGAAGTTACATGTTACTTGAGGGGAAGTGAATAACTCTAATGAAAAACTAAATAAATCAGCCTAGTGGTGTTCTAGTAGGATAATAAATACATTTCTCTTTGTTCCTAGATATCCTCAAATGCAAGTGAAATTAAGCATATTCCAGTAAGTATGGGTTTTTAACTTTTACATAGGTTATTATAAAGATTTTTCAAATAGTGATCTGTATGAACTGCCATGAGAAAATTAGTGCCTTAGTTTTTTTTTTTTTTGTACCAGGGATCAAACCTAGGACCTTGCGCTTACGAAGAAGCAGGTGGTGGAACCACTGAACTAAATCCCCAGCCCGTGCCTTAGTATTTTTAACAGCCACCTTTAATAGCATTCTGGTCAAGAATTTAAAATCTTAATGGGGCCAGGGATTTAGCTCAGTGGTTCCACCGCCTGCCTCGCAAGCACAAGGTTCCGAGTTCCATTCTTGGTACCAAAAATAATAATAATAATAATAATAATAATAATAATAATAATAAAATAAAATCTTGATAACTCAGACTTTGATCCATTGAACTCTTGCTCCATCGGCTTATTTTTTTTTCCAACTGATACTGATATTGTTTCTCTACTGATGATCTCCTATATCCACCTTTTTGCTTTCTCATGATTTTTTCCTCCTGATTTTTCCCTGGCCTAGAAAATTCAGTTTGACCACCAGTGGAATTTCATGTATTGTAAAGCGCTACCAGAAAGGGCTCCTTGGGCCTGGGATTTAGCTCAGTGGTGCCGATGCCTGCCTTGCAAGCGCGAGTTCCTGAGTTTGATCCCTGGTACCAAAAAAAACCCCCAAAAAAACCCAAAGCACACAAACAGGAAAGGGCTCCTTGGGGTTGTACAGTGTTTGTTCCCCAAACAGTACTGGGTATTGGGTCCCTCTAAGCAATTTGCAGCCTGGCCTTGTGCGGCTCCTCTTAAATGGAAATCACAAACAAGTTTATTCACACAAACAAGCTTATCATTTTCAGTGTTAAGGAATCAGGGGCCAGGAACCCAGCTAGCTTCCTTGAAATGGAAGAAAATCATTTCTTCCCTTTCAAAATTACTTTTCTTTAGTTTTCTAACATTTCCCATTTATTTTGTTAAGTACTATCACATTAGTTGTTTGGAATGGTTGACATCATTTGGCTTAGTAAACATTTTATCAAACTTTTATTTAAAGTCTTTTCTCCTGTTTTCTCCTTTTTTTCCTTCACTACCCCAATACATTCTAGTTGGACCTATGTCCTTTTTTAGTCTCCTTGGTGAATGGGATTGTGAGCAAACAGGAATTGCACTTAGAGTCACTTTGGATTCTGTCAGACTGTTCATGTTTATTACCGTAATTTGCTTGGCCAAAAGAAGTATTTTAATGGGAGAAAGCTCACAGCACATATACAGCCCACAATAATGGACCTGCAAAAGCTTTAATTTTAAGAATACAATCCTTTGCCTGTTACTCTTCTTGTAGTAACTGTAAGGATATACAAGGTTTTAACCAAGCTTCCCACTGTTATTATAGAGACTGTATTTAATGTACCTGCTAATCACTAGGTACATTGTAATCCACCTGGTGTTTGTGTACATAAGAGAGAAATAGGTTGAGAAAAATATTTTAAATACTTATTATATTTTCTAGTAGACCTAGGGTACTTTTTTGCAGTTGAAATCATTCTATTAATGCAAAGTGTTAGACGTGTGCCCTTTTAAATTTGGGATTCTTCCACTGTGGTTCCATTTCAGAACTGGGTTGGGCAGGATGTTGAGGAGGTGCCTTCACTTTGTGCTCATGAAAATTACAAGCTGTTCCCCATAGGCTGTCCTCTGAGTCCCTACACCCTGATAACAATATTGCTCCTTCCTGTTTCGCGCAGGAGGGGGAGAAGTGGGAAGATGGTCCTTGCAAGGTGTGTGAATGCCGAGGGGCACAGGTCACTTGTTACGAGCCCTCTTGCCCACCATGTCCAGTGGCCACCCTGGCCCTGGTGGTTCCAGGACAGTGCTGCCCACACTGCACTTCAGGTAGGCCCATGCCCCATGTGATGGTTTTACTGGCAAAAATTTCAGGCAAATTCTCTCACACCTCTCTTATTCTTTTGTCACCCAACTGTAGGGATTTTATTTGTTTCTTAATTTTTCTAACAAATAGTTGCTCTTAATCTTTGCCCATGTAATTACCAAATTCAACTGATTTTGACTGTGTGACCTTGGGCAAGTCATTGACTTTCTCTAAATCTTAATTTTTAGTTGATAAAATATGCCTTACCTGTCTTGCAAAATTATTGTCAAATCAAATAACAAAATTTTGAAAACTTGTAAAGGCAAATCTATCTTTTATTGTTGAAAATTCAAGACTAACTCCACAAATGTGACATGGACATTCTCTTTCTCTTTTTTTTTTTTTAAAGGTTTTGTTAAGCAAATGGTTCCTTTCGGAGTTCTCAAATGGGATTTTAAAGTTTAAAGACTCATTAGGTTCTTTTTCCAAAAGAAAATTTTATCTACTTGTTCTGCAACTCCGCTTTCAAATCACCTGAGGTTGAATTTGTTCCAGTTAATAATAGTTGGCAAGCATTGGAGTTGCTCTGGCTGAGCATTAATTTGCCTGTGAGCTGAGTCGCTCTTGGAAAAGGGGCATTTTTTCCATTCATAGTTCATAATTAATTGTTTTCATCCATGGGCCACCATTTTCACATCAGCAGGCTTGTTGCACTTCCCTTATCTTGGCTAATGCAGTGTTTCACTGGAGAGTTTACTGAGTGATAAACAAAATGACTTTATGGTTTAATTATGTTACTTTCACCAGAGTGGCTCTCTGAGCTTTGCAAAACAAATATTTAGCATATTATTGTATACTGAAATCAGGTCTTTGACAAATTCAAAATCTGAAAATAGTCCTTTGGTGAGAATTATTGCTGAAGTCAGTGATAATCCCAGGGACTGAGAATGAGATTTAAAACTCAAGAGAAAAAGAAGTAAACTGGCTAAATTTTTAAAGGTAATAATAACTACTTTTAAAATATTGTGAATTTTATGTCTGAACCTTTTATGCATGCCAAAGCTTAAGAAGAACATCTAAGATATCATCAATTATTGATTCTGTGGAGATCACATATTGTGCAGGTGGTCATGTCTCTTTCTGAGGTCCTTCCAGCATTAATGAGGGTGTTCTTTTAGCACCCTTGGATTCTGTCTGATGTGTGTATAGCCTGTGGATTCTTTCTCTGAAGGATGTGGAAACTCCTCACTGAGTTCTTTTCTTTGTCCTTGATTTTAGTTCCTTGCCACCCAGACTGCTTGACCTGTTCTCATTCTCCAGACGACTGTGACCTCTGCCAGGATCCCACAAAGTTGCTGGAGAGTGGTCGGTGTGTGCACAGCTGTGGCCTGGGGTTTTATCGAGCTGGCAGTCTCTGTTTAGGTATGGCTCTGGTGGGCAGCCTGGAGGTGGTGTGGGAGAGTGAATAGAGATTCCTCACAGATTATTATTCTTACACTGAGGCTCAGTACTGTCAAGGAGGCAGTCATGAGTGCAGGAAATGCACAATATTTCGAAACCACTAGTAGGTAATAATATTACTCACAGGTCACTTAGCCTCTGCACCTGCAAGTCTCTTGCTCCTAACATTCCACGGGTGTTTCCGTACTTACTGAAAGATAGGTGATACAGAAATGTTTGCTAAGTAGTGATGGCTGGATTTGTTTCATTTTTTACAGACTTTCTCGGGTAGTAATATTATTAGGATGCTTATTACTTACTAAAACACTTTTAATCCAGATAAAAATTTAGAGGTGACATAGACCTTCAGGATCATTTAACTAAAACTTTCCAGTTTTGCCTGTGGGGATCCTATGGGCAAGAGAAATGAACTGACTTTCTCTAAATCACAGAGATGGTTGTTAACAAAGCTTATCTCTTAAGGAGTTATCAGGGCACCCAGGATAGGTTCACTGGCTTTGCAGAATGCTTGTCCATCTGGGGAGGAGATCTTACCTGGGAGAGTGTGGCAGGGTTGGGGTCAGGTCTTCCTTCCCCTTATCTCTTATTTGTGTGGTTGATTATCCCTTTAGGAGTGTACAAGTTTATCCCTTGGCTGTGAGTATTTAACCTCTCTCTTTCCTCAGTATTCTTATTTGTAAAAAGGAGGTGATCCTAGTACTTTCCTCTGAGTATTGTTGTAAAGACTAAGTGTATAAATACCTGTTAAATCCCTAGAATGGTGTCTAGGGTATAGGTAGGGCTCACTAAGGCTTAGCTACTTCTGTTACTATTTTTGTAATTATTCTCTTCTCCCTACTTTCTCTCTTGATTTATAACCTTTAATCTTTTAAAATTATTTCTATCTCAGCCATAAGGTATGGAGGAAAAGGATTGAGAGATAATTTTGCAAAAAGGTTTAATGTAAAGATATTGGGGATTATTTGATAAAAGAAAAGGTCAGAGAGTCCTGAGCCAAACTGCCTGGCTCAGAGGCCAATGTCTTGTGGCCTAGTTCCTTTACCTCCCTAAGCTCATCCCTCTCTGTAAATGTGGGATTAATGAGGCTCATAGGATAGTTGTGCAGATGAAAGGCATTTCCATATATAAAGCACCTGAACAGTGCCTGACATGAATTGAGTGCTTTGTAAATGATGGCTGCTAAAATAATTCATTCTGTGGGACCCCAGAGCCTCAAGATTAGGGTCTCTTGGAGTCAACCCTGATTGGTGTCTGCACTAATATCTCTCCCTCTCCCTCTCCCTCTCCCTCTCTTTCCTGGTCTGGAGCCAGCCTGCAAGCCACAGTGCTCCACCTGCACCAATGGGCTTGAGTGCTCGTCCTGTCAGCCTCCCCTGCTGATGCAGCAGGGACAATGTGTGGTCACCTGCGGGGATGGCTTCTACCAAGATCACCACTCCTGTACAGGTAATCACTGACTGAGTCCCAGCAAGCTTTCCCACCCTCACCCTACCAACACATCAGTGGCTACCAGTTTTTCAAACGAGAAGTGCTAAAGTTTGAATATGGTTTGTCCCTCAAGGGTTCATGTGCTGGAAACGGAAACGTAGTCCCCAGTGTAGTGGTGTTCAGGGGTGGAACCTTTAAAAGGTGAATCTGGTGGAAGATTATTATGTTATGGGGGCCTTGCCCTCATGAATGGGTTAATACTCTCTCTCTTTTTCTCTCTCTCTGGAGTTCTAGCTCCTGTGGGACTAGATTAGTACCAGCCAAAGAATTATGAGCCAAATATACCTCTGTACTTAATAAAGTACCCAATCTCAGGTATTTTGTTACAGCAACTAACTATATTAAGACAAGAAGAAACTGAATAAGATTCCTGATGGGATGAGAAGAGTGGATGAGCAAGATGATAAACATTGTTTTCATAATCTCCTTTAGTAACTCTAATATGTACTACATTAGTAGATGCATATGCCTACTTTTATTTTATACTTTTTATTTTGTTTGTTATTGATTATTAAAATTCTTAATATTGCAGTAGTCTCTGAAGGTGAGACTGATCATAATATAATTTGTTTATACTTAGCCAGCTTTTCAGTAGTGATTATAATCATGTGTGTAAGTAAAAGGAAAATGTATAAAGAATTTCTAAAGAGGAGAAGTGGAAGAGGGTAGCGGTGAGAGCAAAGACCAAGGGCAGAGGTAGAGGTTTGTCTTTAGGAGGACAGGGAGATAGATGTGCCCCGAACCCACGATCTGGTACATGGTGGCAGGTGGACAGGAGAGGGTCCTGGCTCTCACCAGGAAGCTATGGTGGCTGCTACATGGGTGAATCTACAAGATTTGGAAGGTTGCCAGTCAAGGGGTTGGTGATACAAGAGATGATTGAAAGATATGGTTGATGTTTAAATTTTTAAAATCTTATTACAATAAAATACACATTTCCAAGAACTATGGGATATGAGTGTTTAAACAAGGGGGAGCAATGTGAGGGGGATTGATGGCAGTGTGTCTTTTACTGTAATAAATTGTTTTTAAAATTTAAATATTCACCATATTTTTTATCATGCCTTATATGCTCCTCTCTTGCAAGCCCTTCATCACCATTTCAGGAAAACCAGCTGGAAGGTGAAAAATGAAAGAGAATCAGTGTGTAGTATTCATAGGAGTGCAGCTTGCAGGAGCTCCAAGGCCAGCCAAGAGCATGTCCCAATAGGGGACAATCCTGGCTCCCTCTGCCCCGACTTGTGGTCAGCATCAGAGCCTAGGAGATTGTGAAAATGATGAGGAAAGGAAACAAAAGAACTGTTTGTGCCCATAGAGGTATGAGAAGAGGGCCTGTTTTGTGACCAGTCCATGTTATGTTATGAAATCTGGAAGGCAGAATAGCATCTGAGTTTGGCTTGCGGGCTCTTTGTGGACAATAAGCCTGTCTTCTGATGTCTGTATCTCCAGGGTAAAGGGCTGCACAAAGAGACCAGCACTGCCTTAAATGAATGATGAGTGAGTGACTGAGTGAACATATTATCCCTTGGTGGTCCTTGAAGGACTAGTGTTTCCATAGAAATCTCAGTCGTAAAAGAAAAAAAAACCCTTAGAGTTTAGCTTATTGTATTCTCTTTACCTGTATTTTGGAGCAACTCAAAGTTTGCAAGTATAAATGGTTCTACAAGTGGCTAATGGTGGAGCAGTTTAGGTAAAGTGCTGAAATTTCAATTTGATGGAATTATTGAATGTATTCTATAACCTTTTCTTCTCTCCCATCAAAGAGACGTCCTGCTAACACTCTGGTGACAGATTTGCCTTTAAAATTGAATTAATCCCCCCTAATTTATGCTCCTCCCTCTGTAACACCTCCTCCTACGATAAACACACACACACCACATATATTTACTTTGTTTTTCTTTTCTTTAGTTCATTTCCTTTCTCTCATGCCCAGTGTTTTAATTGGTGATGCTAATGCTGTTTTAGGGCATTTTGAAATGGGTAATGTTTCATTTGATTACTGGTTTACATAGCTGTCTGCTTCACAATCCATCCACATACGCACATACAAACACCTCTAGTAGAAAGTTGCTAGGAAAATTTGTTCGTTCTCCCTCTAGGGAATTAAACCAATTTGCTTTAGTTCAGGCTGGTTGCATTTTTATGCATAAAATGAGGAGAAAAAAACCAAAGCAAGAGGAGAGAAAGAAGAAGGAAGACAGAAAAAGTGATCTTAAAAATTAAAGCTAGATTTTGTATCACTTTCCATATACACACTTGGTACTGAGACGTCCCAATTCACTTTTGCAAATAAGCTTTTCCAACATTGATCTTTTTTTGTAGCATTTGTGCTTGTGCCATTTTTGTTGACTTTTTGCCACTGACCTTGGAAGTTGGTTAGTCAGTGGGTGCTCGTCCAATACGTGCTAAACTTTTCAAAAAGAAGCTAGCTATTTTATAATAACAGCAGTTTTTTGGGGATTGATTTCTTTTGGCAGGGCCATTTATGCTATGATAGGGATAATTCTCCACTTTATTGACCATCAAAATCGAAAGAAAGTGAACACTGTGCTGAGGAAACTAATTAACAGAAATCACCTGATTAATATTCATGCTCATTATGCTAAATACAAGGCAGAGTAAAAAATATGGGATAGAGCCAAGTAGCACGTAAACATGGCTCTTCAACAATAGTGAACGAGCAGGTAAACCAGAGGGGTTAAAAGAAGACACTGAGCCCTGCCAAGAGTCTCACCCTTAGGAGCCCTTTCCAGTTTCCCTTTCCCCTGGAGTTTGGTGGTATGCACACCCCCTCCCCTGCATATAAACGTGTGCATCAGCATTACTATTATATCTTGGACTTTATTAAACTAAATAAATTAAACTAAATAATGCTATAGTGATTAACTATAGACCACCTTATGTACCTCAAATTGGTCCCTGTTTCATTTCACCTGCCTTCTCCAATTTGGGAACTTGACTTGATCCCTTTACATTAAGGTTCAGCACTGCTCTTTTTATATCAAGTGAAATTGGAAACATGCAGCATGTAGGTCATCTCTTCTCTGCAGCAGGCATGGCCAAAGGGTAGACCCCATGGCACTGCCCAGACTTTGCATTTTAGCCCTGGCACTTGGGTTTCTGCCTTCATGGCGAGGCTTTCTGTGCTGTCGTTTAGATCTGATTTCACATTGTCTCTTGCTCACTGTGTCCTACTCTTAATGATTCCATGAACCTTGGGTCCTAGGACTGTTCTACTTTTCTTTCTGCTACCTGTCCTGTTCTTATCCATTTCCAGGAATTAAAATCCATCTCTCAGTCACCTGTATCATGATGGTCAGGCTCTATTCTTGTATGAATGCTCCTTGGTCCTCCCATCCCACCACACTACATGACCTGTGCCCTTCCTGCATGGCTCTTGAGCACTAGCCACCCTGGATTCATTCCATTCTTTCTCCCAGAGGAGTAGTTTCAATGCCTCATCTTAGAAACTCCATTATTAAATCTAAATCTAGATCCAGACTGAACTAACTGCCCAGGACCTGAGAACATACTTCCTTGCTTATCTTGCCCCTCTTTTCAGTCAACCTCTATTCCACTCTGGTGAAACCACTGAACCATGCTCATCAATTGTAAATATAAATGCCCATAGAAAGAAAAGCCCCCAAAACAACAGCATGTCTTATACAGATTAATTCAAGATGAGTAGTTCATAAGACTGTAGAATTCAAATAGTTCATAAGACTGTAGAAAAAGCTAGACTGTAAGCCACTTTTATATATGTATCAATGTTTGGTTTGTCTACTTAAAACAAATTATTCCTGAAGGCTTCAAGTATGGGGCCATGTCACCCTGTGGCCAATGCTGCCTCTATTCAGCAGGCCCAGGGTTAGCTTGAAGCATGCAGCAGAGGCTAAGAGTTTAGGCTCTGGAGCCAAACCACCTAGATTCTAATATTGGCTCTTTCACCTAGACATTCTTTAATGTGGGTAAACAGAGACAATAATATCTGCCACATAACATTGCCGTGAAGATGAGTTCGCATGCTTCATTCAGGATGTCATACCTGGTACCTGGTGAGCCTTCCATTATCCATTGAGAGACTTGGATTTCTGCTTTCGCTCTATTACCCTCCTTCCCTGTTCCCTTTCTACCAATCCCCTATTTATTCTCTTTTGACCACCCCTCTTGGTCCTGAGGATATGAAGAAAGTAAGATTCCATGTAGAGTGAGCTGACATCAAGGCAGATTACCTGTTACTTACAGAGGTGTAAAAAACAACAAGCAAAACAAAACAGACACAACCAACATCTTTGGAGCTTATTTCAGATCTGAGTGCTTTGTGGTCTTAGATACTGAAACCTAAAAAACAAACAATTGGGCGTTTTACAGGGTTATGAGGGGTGGGATTATTTTGGAATCTCCATTCTACCATTTACTGCTATATGACTTCAGGCAGTCATTTGGCCTCTTTGAACCTCAACTTCCCCAACAATAAAATGGGGATAGGCTGGGGATTTAGCTCAGTGGTTCCAGCACCTGCCTCACAAGTGCAAGGTCCCGAGTTCGATCTCTGGTACCAAAAAAATAAAATAAAATGGGGATAATAAAGTATGGTCTACTTTAAACCAAGTTGTACACTATTCATATCTGATTTAAAGTAAAATGAAATATACTTTTATATGTTATGGAGAAGTGAATATAATAAACTTGGTTGAGGTTTAAGAATCTGTGGTTTGAGTGGAGGAATTGGAGTTGGCTCAAGCAGCTCATCAGCTGATCATTTGAGGAAATGAAGCACTGGTTCAGGCCAAAGCATGGAACACTTTATGGTCCCTGTGGTTGTGTCTCAACAGGAGACTTAGTGAGCCTGGCTGGGCCCCGGGTAGGCTTCATGGCACAGAAACTTGTAAAACTACAGTTCTGAAGACCTCAGTAGGCCAGACCCATCCTTACTCCATTTAGCAAGCTGGTACCCT